ACTCGTTCAAACCATTACGAACTTCGCCGCGCAATTTGCCGCGCGCATCCTCGGACGCACGTTCGTACACATACCCGCCCCAACGTCCGAAAAAGAATATTTCAATCCTATACCACGCTGTTTCCCATATGGAAACAACGTGGGTACTTGCATGGCATGGTTATATGATTGCTCCCCCTTTAGGTGAGTGAGTGAGACAAATACAGAATCCTCTACTCATACTACAAACCTGTTACCAAGTATGTTAGTGGAATGAAACCAACGGCACAGATGTGAAAATAAAAGCCGCAGAATGGCTGAACTACTAGAGACAGTGGGAGATTACAAGCTGAGGGAAAGCGGTTGTAGAAAAAGGCTTGCAAATCCCTACTGCCCAAACGAGGTCTATTATAAAAGGAGCATACGAACGTGAAACACGAAACATTAACGGTGAAACGGATGAAGTTCCCTAATAATGGCGACCGCATGCACTTGTTAGGGAGCTTTTTGTGCGGCAGTAAAGTGCAGAAACTCCTGTAGGAGTGGATACACTGCCAACAATTACCAAACTGTAACTCTTTGTCGTAGATTACAGTTTTTGACACTTATACGCCACTATGACAGGGCTATGAAGAGAAAGGCTATGAATAGAAGGCAGAAAACAAAAGAGATGTGTCTGGCCTAAATCTTTTATCAGCCTTTGATTAGGAGTTGAAAAACCGATTCGAAAAATTCGAGTTGAGCCATTAAACCTTTACGGTATGCCAGTGTATCCCACTGAGGCGCTATCAAGTCCAAAAATTCATCCAAAGGTTCAAGAAGGATGGCTAGTCGATGGCCGAAAACTAAACTCTTCCACCTTTAGCGTAGGCGGGGTCTTAGTTAAAAGACTTCTACTGCCAACTATTTCTCAGAAACCCCGGGAACGCCCCTTTTTCATTTGTAAATACATAAATTCAATCAGTAGATCTCGCCGAATAGGCCAACGTTGACCGTGCTCAATCTAACTGCAAAATACCTTCGGAGAATGATAAATAGATAGTTATAGGGGGCAAGGTCGATAAAGTTAATGAACAACTATCTGAC